CAGCGGTCTCCTCGAGATTTCCCGACGTGAAGTAGAGGACGGTCAGGTACCGAAGCAGTGGGGCAGCTGCACGTGTGTTCGCAGCTTTTACTGTGATTCCATGTAGTTCAGCCCAGCCGTCGGCCATTCGAATATTGGTCGGCTTCAAGGTTGGAAGCCTGTTTGATCCTGGGTGGTCGGTATACCACTGCTCCATCTCACGCGTGATTCTGGCCAATCTGTCGGCGCGGTTTCCACCCAGCGTATTCTTCGACATCATCATTTCGAGCACACCTCCGAAGATCAGGGACGCCGCGCCCTTGCAATCAGCGAGATGCATAAATTCAACGAAGAGGTACCATTTTTCGCAATTGTAGTGGCATCTCAACAAGGGGTGCAACGGCTCGCGGAATCGAGCTTTCCATGTCTGGAAGGGGAGGTCCTCTGTAGCGCGCCAAGCAGCTCGTGCGCTCAGGTCCGTAAAAGGCCGGTTTCCATTATTTCCCAAGCAGTCGGGGCAACATTCAATTGAATTGTAATGCGGACCTCCGAGCTCGTTTGCTCGTTGATCTTCGCCCCCCTTCAAAATCAAGAGAACGAATCGCCACACCTGCCTGCCCGTCTTTGCAATAGGTTGTCCGCCAACCAGCCCAGTCGCCATCTTGTCAAAATCGCCGACGATACCCCAATATACATTTGCATCAGCTGTGTTGTCTTTCTTCAAATAAGAACATATGAGCCACTTTGTCAGCTTCTCCTCGCCTTCACCCAAAAGAGTAGACCAAGATATACAATTTGTGCTCAAGGACTTCGTGCACGGTCCAGCGTCGATGCGCAGGGCGCACGGGATCGTTGTTACTAGATCCCCGACGGTCTTGTCACGCAGGAAGGGATGCCGAGATGCCCATGCTTTAGTTTTCGGGCGCGAAAGGAATGCCTCCCAGAACTGCCGCACCTTGTCCACCTTCGCCCCAAACCGCAAAATGAATTCCCGAGGGTATTCAGTGCGCACCAGCCGCGCCAGCGACGAGGGCAGAACCATCGTGCTGACGCGGTCTGAACCTTCGATCGTCGTCTGCACGTCGAGCAGCCCAATTCGGGCCAACAGGGCTCGAAGGTCCTCTTGCGCATGCCCGCCATCACGTGAGGCCGCCAGCCGATTTATCATCGGGTGAGATCGGTTGTCGTCCACCGCGTTCTTCATGTGGTAGCGGAGCCGCTCGGCGCTGCTCACGCCATCTGCCCAGTCGAGGAGGTGTCCTGCTGCTAAACGAGAAATCCCTGCTGCATCAGGGGCATCGCCGTCTTCCATCTGCAGCGCTTACCGCCAGCCGCCCAAGCGACGGCGCTTGGGCACAGGCATTGCCCACAACTGTTTCAACGCCAGCAAGATAACCAAGTGGTATGGATACGAGCGCTGCATTACAATGCGGCTACTGTACTGCCAGCACAGGTTTGAGCCCAAATGGCTACGGGTAGCGGCGACTCCGATGATGGTGACGTTGACGACATTGTTCTCGTCAGTTGCTGACGACGACGACGACGACGACAATGTTGATGGCGATGCTGGTGACGGCGACCGCGATGGCCAAGCATGACGAGATTGTGGGTCACGAGTTGTGGCGTTCATGACGGCGACCATCTCCTCCTCCTCATCCTCTTCCTCCTCCTCCTCCTCCTCCTCCTCTTCCGTCCTACTGCCTAGGTCGTTCGGCCCCTCCCCCTCATCCCCATCCTCCTCCTCCTCCTCCTCCTCCTCCTCTTCCTCCTCCTCTTCTTCCTCCTCCTCATCTTTCTCCTCCTCCTCCCCCTCCTCGAAAAAATGTTGCAACGATTGGTGCCGATTTCGCCCTCCTCCTCCTCCTCCTCCTCCTCCTTCTCGAAAAAATGTTGCAGCGATTGATGCCTTTTTCGCCGTCCTCCTCCCGCTCCCCCTCACCCCCCCCCCCCCCCCCTCCTCCTCCTCCTCGCCTCCGCCTCCGTCCTCCTCCTCTCCTCCTCCTCCTCCTCGCCTCCTCCTCGTCCCTCCTCCTCCTCCTCCTCCTCCTCCTCCTCCTCCTCCTCCCCCCCCCCCCCCCCCTTAAGTTTTTCAAATCGGTTTGAAGAAACCTCCCCATCATCCTCATCATCCTGCTCCTCCTTCCCATCCCCCTCCCCTTCTCCCCCCAATTCGCCGCCCCCTCCCCGTCCTCGTTCCCATCCTTGATGGCGGCCCCCATCGGCAACGCGCCGACTGCCCCTCGGGTGCAACTCGGTTCGGGCCTATGCGCAGACGAGAGCAGAGAGAACACGTTTCCACAATCATTCGAGTCGGTCCTTGAAGAAAAAGCCAGATAACGCGTTCGGCCGCCCCGATTGCTCGCAATGCTAGGCACGCGCGCTTCGCCCACTGCGGCGCTGTCGGCGCCTACGTTTTAAGATATCTTAAGTTTTCTTAGGATTATTGAGATATCATATGTTGTTTATTTCAACATATGTTCAAGCTTAAGAAAACTTAAGAAATCTTAAGATATCTTAAAACTTCGGCGCCGCGCGCGAGAGCGAGAGGGAGGGATGGGGGGGGAACTGTGGGAAGAGAACAAGATCGGGGGAGCGAGAGGGGGGGTGATAGAGAGGGGGGAGGGCTACGATGCCACCCAGCCCTGTACTGCAGCCCGCACGCAGAGACCTGAGAGATGCCATCCCTCCCATGTCCCCCCCTCCCCTCCCCTCATAGCTAGAACGATCGGCCGCTCTCAACAGCGCTCGCGCCATGCCCTCACTCGTCCACGTCCAGCTTGAACCAAGGGCGCAGGGCCGACGCCTTACTGTTCCCACCCTTGATGAGGTCGACGAGCGCCTTGGACGCCGACGCAGTGCTCTTGATCTCGTCATCAGTGAGGCTCTGCTTGGCCATGTGCTTCAACTCGACCTTCATGATGTCGTTGTCCAGCGACTCGCCCTTGGCGATCCGTTGTGATAAATCGCACTCGATTGTGCAACCCTTGGTGTTCTTGTTGCCCTTGCTGCGATCCACGAGGGCTGACCACTCCCTCCTCGCGCGGTCGAACATACCGTGCACCTTGCGCGCGTTGGCCACGCGCACCTCGTCGCGCTCCGAAACGGCAGTTGGTGGAGGTGACGACCCATCGCTCGCCGCAGGATGGCTGGGGGCAGCGCTGCTACTCTGGAAGCTCGCGAACTCCTTGTCGAAGTTGTCCTTGTCGTTCTCGTCCCACTGTTCTGGATCCTCGGCCTCCTTCGTGCTTAACGATTTCTTGCCGTCGGACCACTTGTCTACCGTGTAAGCGACCTGTTGGTTGTAAGGCCACTCCAAGGTCGTCGTCGGCGGGAGTTTCGGGTTGGGGCGGCATTGCATGGCCCCGAATGCGATCATCTCCCTGACCGCAGTCTCGCCGTCCCTCGAAGCTGCGGACTGGAACGAGACCCGCTCACCTTCGGTCTTGGTCCCCCTCGCCATCTCGATGGTGCGCTTGTGTTTCACCACGACGTCTGGGAGCACCCCTTTCTTGCACTCGACGACGTCCTGCACGAACTGGCGCTGCTCAGGTTCAGGCTTGTTCTTGTAGGATTCGTCCCACGCGGTCTTGACGTCTGGGCAGTTCTTGCACCTGTAGTAGAACTTGTTGTAGAGCCCTTTGTCCTTCGACAACCACGCAGTATCACCAGTGGACTGCTGCTTCTTGGCCATGGACTTCGCGGCCGTTGCGCGCGCTGGAGCGCGCGGTTCTGGCGGGCCGGATGGATGTTCAGCGGCGCCCGCGGGGTTCGCAAGATCGCTTGCAACGACTTGCGAACGGTCTCCTGCGATGCAGCCTGGAAGAGTCTGCTGCACCGTGCCCTCGACCTTTGCCATCTTCACCGCTCGTTCCTGTTCCTCGGACATTGGTAGTGGGGGCTGGCTGCGAGATGAGCGCTTGAGCCAAAATACGGCTACGCTGAAGATGACGATGGTGATGCTTCCCCTCCACGAATCTGCCAGAGTAGAGTGTCGGGAAGTTTCGTATGATAACACCGTTCCTGAGTTAACTGCGAGGACGTCTGAGGCGAGAGCGCCATTCCTGAGTGGCTTGGCGGATGCTGACGATTACCAATCAGACCGTCAAACGCCCTTCGACCTTTCTGAACATGCTACTTTAGTTCATCATAAGTGATTGCAGGTAAGCATACGTTGCGACCAAGTCTCACGCAGGAAAAGGGGGAGGGGACGGACGAGGAGGAGGAGGAGGAGGAGGAGGCGTGTTTCCCCCCAGAAGCCGATTTGAACAGCATCGTGGAAAGCTTAGGGGGATGAGGAGGAGGAGGAGGAGGAGGGGGAGGAGGAGGGGGAGGGGCCCGAACGACTCAAGGCTTCAGGGCTTTTCCTGATTTCTAAAGTTTACCTGGACAGTAAGTAGGACGGAAGAGGAGGATGAGGAGGAGGAGGAGGAGGAAGAGGAGGAGGAGGAGGAGGAGGAGGAGGAGGAGGCGGAAGAGGAGGAGGAGGAGGAGGAGGAGGAGGAGAAGGAGGAGGAGGAGGAATGCTTCTTTTCTGCAGGCGCCAGCGCCAACACGAGAAACGAGCCACGCAGCGCAGCTGGCCGCGGTGGGAGCGGGCACGCTGGGGCCAGGAGGCCTAGCCGGCGAGGGAAGAGGAAGCAGGAACGTGAGGAGCGAGGGGGTGGAGGGAGGGGGGAGGAGAAGGGGAGGGGGGGGAGAGGGAGGAGGGAGGTACGAGGGAGGGAGGGAGGGAGGGATGAGGCAGGAAGGAAGGAGGAAATGAGGATGTTCTGAGAAGCAGGAGAGTTGGGCGAAGCAGTGCCTGGTGCCTACGCTGTTAGGCGCCGTCGTCGATACTGCGAGCGTGCGTGCCCTCGTCGTCGCTGTCGTCTTACTTGTCGTTATCGTCGTCGTCCCTGTCGCCATCGCATCCGTCGTCATCCGTCGCACCCTAGTCGCACCCTCGCACCCTAGTCATCCGTCGCCCTCGACGTCGCCAACAGCCATCCCCTACACCAGGACTACAAGAGCGGCATACGTATCTAGGCATTCTCAGAAGCCCACGCTTTGGCCTCCTGAATGGTGGTGACGGCCTTCTGCTCGATGAGACGCTTGAGCTCGCAGATCTTGGCGAGGTAGTCATCGGAGGAGTTGGACGAGAGGCCAGCCACGAACTGCCACTTCACAGGGGGGGTGTCCTTGACGCAGTGCACCAGGTAGGCCTCGCCACAACGACCGACCTTCGGCTTGCGCTCTGTCATCTTGATCGGGAGCTTCAGAACACCAGGAGTCGGACTCGAGCCTGGAGGCGAAGTCGCCTTCGAGGCACTCGGAGTCGCCTTCGAGGCACTCGGACGCCTGAGCCTCATCATCCTCATCTTCTTGGGCGTGACCAGCTTCTTGTTCTCCAGAGTCGTGTCCTTGTCGGGTGCGGCGGCCTTCGGAGGCGTAGTAGTCGGGTCAGCCGTCTTGGCCGTCAACCTTGTCAGAAATCGCAAGGAGGAGAAGGGGGGGAGGAGCAGGAGGAGGAGGAGGAGGAGGAGGAGGAGGAGGAGGAGGAGGAGGAGGAGGAGGAGGAGGATGAGGACCAGGGAAGGGGAAGCAGAAGGAGTGGCAATACCTCGTCCGCTTCTTCAACGTCTCCTGCTTCTGGCCCCCGCGCTTCGGGTCGGGGATGCGCAAAGTAGGTGGATCCGTTGGAGTCCCTGAGCTGGTGGCCCCCGAACTCGCGAGCCCCGAAGTCGCCGCGCTCGACGTCGTGCAAGACACCCTGAGCTTGGCCATGCACTCCTCACAGTTGCACGTCACCTGGGTCATCTGGCACTCGTCGTCCGAGGAGCTGACCGTGTCGACGGCGCCAGCGGAGGCGCCGAGGCAGACCGTCTCCGCACTCAGCGTTCCGTGGTCGCTCGTGTCGTCGACGTCCATGGGCGGGAACAGGCTCTGCACTTCCGCTGGCCCCAGCTCGGTCTGGGCGGGCGGCGGCTGCTCGGCGGCCGTGGCGCCCTCGTCGTCACCGTTGCTCTCGGCGCCGTCGGTGGCGGTAGCCTTCGGCAGCTCGATCTTCTTCGCCATGTTGTCGACGACCTCACAGCCAGTATCGGTGCCAGTATTAGCCAAGTCGTATATGTGGCGCATCATGACGCGCCAGTTGTCTGCCGCCTCCGTCGTCCGCTTGAACGCGTGCATCTCGTCGAGGTTCTCGAAGATGGTGCTGTGGGCGCGCAGGTACCTGAAAGTGGCGCGCAGCGTCGGCTGCGAAGGGAAGCCGCTGGGCGCGAAATCCAGCAAGATGTCCAGGACCTTGGCGTGCTTCTTGAGCCCCTGGACGTCGGCCGCCTTGCCCCTGCCAGCGAGGTAGTCCGACCCGTCCCAACAGAAGCCCAGAACACGCTCCTTGAGCTTCGCGAGTGGCTGCAGCTTCTCAGCGAGGGCGGACTGGTCGAAGTAGGACGTCACAGGGCGTGGAGCCCGAGTGCCTCTCGCACGCTGCTTCCCCATCGATCGCAAACGTATGTGATCGAACTCAGCCGTACCTTAGGAAATGATCGAGCCAAAACGGCTTCGTGGAGGATGAGGCATACGGAGACGAGAGGAGGAGGAGGAGGAGGAGGAGGAGGAGGAGGAGGAGGGAGGAGGAGGAGGGGAGGAGGGAGGAGGAAGGAGGAGGGAGGAGGAGGAGGAGGGGAGGGAGGGAGGAGGAGCAGGAGGAGCAGGAGGAGAGGAGAGGAGGAGCAGAGCAGGAGCAGGAGGAGCAGGAGGAGCAGGAGGAGGAGGAGGAGGAGGAGGAGGAGGAGGAGGGGTTTCTTCGACTTCTTCTCTGAGGCATTGTGGTTGATGGCAAAAAAAGAGGAGGAGGCGGATGAGGAGGAGGAGGAGGAGGAGGAGGAGGAGGAGGAGGAGGAAAAGGGGGGGAGGAGGAGGAGGAGGAGCAGCAGGAGAAGCAGGAGGACGAGGAGGACGAGGAGGAGAAGGAGGATTAGGTTAGGTTAGGACAGCCCCGAGGGGAAGAGTCTCGCAAGACTAAAACAATGGGGGGAAGTGGCACCCCTCAGAGAGGGATTTGTTACCCTGGAGGACAGAACTCCCCGCGCTCTGACCAGGGCCCGCGACGGGGTGCCACGACCCAATGCTACTCCTCAGCCTGGTGAGCCTCCTTGGCGCGCACTCGCTCTGCGAGGGCGGCCATCCGTCTCTCATACTCAGGGGCGGCGGGGGCACTCGAATGGGCCGAGGGAACAGACGTTCGGGCAAGAGTCTTACAACGAAGCCTAACGCAAACTTAATATTCTAAACCAATTGAATTTAATATTCACCGTTCGTATTAAATATTAATATTGCCGTTCGATAACGTAATCGCGCTTTCATTGGGATTCTCTAACAGATTATGATCTTGATGGTTCTGGAGTATTGGGTGGGGAGCCGCGCTCCATCCTGCGCGCGGAGGGAAGATCTGCCTCCCCACCCCCTCGAGGCGGTCGCATCGCCCGCCTGCTCCACACGCCCTCAAGCAAGGAAGAGCTGCTGAGGTCGGGGGGGGGGGCACACCCCGGGGCGCCGGGCGGGGGGGGCGCCGGTGATGGAGCCGAACAGCGCGGAACTGCGGGTGCCACGGGCAAGCCGACGGGGGCGAAGATGCTGGAGGCGGCGGCAGCCGTGGGCCGGAAGCCACACCGAGTGCGGACCGCGATTCTGGAGCAGGCCCGGGAGCACTTGGAAAATCCGCTCCTCCTCCCCTCGGTGCGTCCTCGGCTGGAGGAGGTCACCGCCCAACTTGCCCTATGGGGAAGGGCAGGGGGCGCGGCGCGGGCCCTCGCCCTCCGACCGCGGGGGACCTCCCCCAAGCTGCCGCTGAAGCCCCAGGACCCCCGCCCCACGTCCCCGTGGAGGCGGGGGGAGAGCCCCCGCGCCCTCCAGCCGGTGGGGGGAACCCCCGCCGAATCGGCTCAGGCCGTCGTCCCCGGAGAAAGGAAGCGGAAGGGTTCCTCCGTTCCTGCGCTCCTGCGGGCGCACCGTCCCCCCGCGAGGGAAGAGGACGGGGGGGGGGCCTCATATACCTCCAAGGGGCCGCGCGGAGGGTATGCCACCTCGCGCGGGGATGCGGCACCTTCCAGGTGGCCGCGGGGCGCGGCCTCGCCTTGCTGGAGGGGGTCGGCTGGCCCCTCCCGCTCAGCAACCGGATTGCGCATGGCTTGGCGGCCTGCCTGATGGGTGCCCCTAAGGCGGGACCCGCCGACCCGAACGCCCTCACGGTGGCCGACTTCGTGGTCGCAAGGAGCGCGGACGCCGGGCCCCTCGTCGCCGCGGAGGGACACAGGAGGGAGCCCCCCTCGCCGGCCCCCGCAGACCTTGGCACGTCGGCGGAGGCCGCCCAGACGCAGATCCGGGTGTTCGCCCTGACTTATGGGCAGGAGCACTCACTGCCCAGGACCACCGCCCTGCGGTTCTTGCTGCGCGAACATCAAGACCGGCCGGAGTACCTGTCCCTCGCCGACTTGATGGAGGTCTGGGAGGAGCCCACGTGGCACTGGTGGGCGAAGATGCGGGACGAGCTCCGGTCCGTGGAGGCCGAGATGGGCTCCCACCCAACCGCGCTGCCGGAGCTGACGGCCTATGCCGCAGCCCCGGATGTGCGCGGGAGAGCCCGCGCGAAGATCCCTCGCACGTTCGTGGTCGAGGACCCCACGGAGTACTACCACCGGATCGTTGCCCCGCGCCGAATTCGTCGGGGGAGGATCGGGCCCTGCCAGTCTCGGGGCGGGGGAACCCTCCCCGGGCCCGGGCCCGTGCGCCCGAGGGGCGGTCGTGGGTGGGAAGAACCCCCCCCTCGGGCCTGGCGCGTTCCCGCGCCCCCCCCCGAACGCCAATCGGGAGCCACCCACCGAGGGCCCCTCCCCCCTCCTCGGCCCCGCTCTTCTTTACGCCTACCCGCGCACGAGCGGAGGAGCGCAGGAGGTGGACGAGGAGGAGGCCCTCCCTGTGGGGGAGGAGGCGGCAGCATCAAGCCCGCCTGTGGACCCCCTGGAGTGGGGCGCCGCCTTGAGCCCCCACCCGGAAGAAGACGAAGCGGGGCCGGCCGCGAGGCAGGCGTCGCCGGAGCCCCCCTCTTCGCGTGGGAGGGAAGGGGCCACCGGAGGCCGAGCCCGGCAGCCCCGCTCGGCGAGTGCGCCGCCGGGAGGCTTCGTGCTGAACGAGAGCCGCACCTGCCTGGCCGACGAAGAGGGCGAGACCCGCTACCTGATTCCCCCTACCCAGGAGGCCTTGGAGGCGCTGAACGAGGCGGCCGCCCGGGCTGGCGGGGACAGCCCGGCCCCCGACGCGCCGCTCGAGGCGGGAAGGGGCGGAGCGGGAAGCCAGAGCGCCACTTCGGGGGAGGGGGAGATGCCGGGTGGCCACCTCCACGGCGCCCAAACCACCGCCGGCACGCCGCGGTGGGATGAGCCGGGGGAAGGTCAGACAGGAAGTCCCTCACCGGGGATCGAGGGGGAAGGGGAGGGGACAGCCCCCGTGGCGGGAGCCCCCCCCCCCCTCCACAGCCCCGGATTACGCCCGAGCGGTGCGGAAGGCACTGGCGCGGGGGGCTACTCCCAGGGACCAGAGGGGCCTCCTGCTTTGCTGGGACTACGTCAGCCACCGGGGGTGTGAGGGAGGGGGGGGTGTCTGCCCCCGCGCCCACTGCGACTTGGGACCCGCTCGGGGACTGCCGGCCCCACTCATGGGGGAGCTGGTGCGCCGAGGGGGCTGGAAGGACCAGCCCGTGGTGGCGGAACAGGATCAACCGGCGCGGTTGGCCGCCCTCCAGGGGGGGCCCTCAACCGGGCGGGGGGGCGAGCCACCCGCGCACGTCCGGGCCTGGGGCCCGACCAGGGGGGAATATGACTGGTTCACCCCCCTCCCTGGGCGGGAAGACGTTTTGGATCAGTACTGCAACGGTCTGGACTTCGGCTTCACCGAGAACCACCATAAGGCGCATCGCCTCAACCCAGTTGGAGACCCGGACGACCCAGAGGAGGAGGCGCGGGAGGCCGGAATGCAGGCCATTAACGCGCGCCCCGATGTGCGGGAGTTCCTCAAGGGGGGGCCCTCCTGGCACCTGGAGACCGCGGTCAAGAACCACCTCCTGGAGGAGCACCTGGCCTCGACGGCCACAGGAGGGGTGCTCGCCGTACTCCGGAGGATCGTGGACGGACCCAACTGGAAGCTGGTCCGGGAGGCCGCCGACTGCCTCGATCGGCTCGCGCCTGAGCCTGGCGGCACCCGGGGGGGGGGACGTCCGCCCCCCAGACCGCAGAGGTCACGCCCGGCTCCTCCAAGCCCCGGACGCGGGGGACGGGGTAGGGCGGGGGGCCCTCCAAATGGATGGAGGGGAGTGGGACATGCTCAGAGAGGACCCTCTCCTCGCGGAGCGCTTGGGCATCCAGGGCGACTGTGAGAGAAAGCAGTGTGTCCTCCTGAGCGCGGCGGGCGCCGCCCTCTGGGCCCGGGAGGGAAGGGGGCCGCCCAGCCTCACGGAGGTCTGGGCGCACGCGCTCACGGCCAGAGCGGAGCAGCTGGACCAGGCAGTTCGGGCGGAAGAATCACTGGGGCCTCCGGAGGCCAAGCTGGTGGTCGGGGAGGCGGACCTTCGGATCTTCATTCGCGACGCGGTTGCCCCGCACCACGACAAGGACTACCGCGCCCTGGTCGTGTTCCCCCTCCGCCTCCTGGAGGATGTCGTCCTAAACGTCGTGATGATGGACTACGGTGGGAAGGTGACCACACACCTTCTGGAAGGAGCCCGCTCCGGGGAGGGCTCACCTCAGGCCTGGATGTTGATCCACCGGGGGCACGCCCGCGCCCTCCGCCCCCAAACGCCGACCTCGGGAGAAGCGGGAGGGGACGCGTGCCTGGGTGCCCTCCATCAGACTCTTCGGAGGGAGGCCACGGTCATGAATGGCTGGGAGGAGTTCCTCAACCGCGACGCCCGAGGCACGGAGGTCTCCTGGAGCACTTACGTCAAGTGCCAGGCATGCGAGGAGCGCCCCGCGGCGAGGGAGGCGGCCCTCAGGGCTGGCCGGAGGGCTGCAGCGGCAGAGCCTGCCCGGGCACCCGCAATCAGGGCCGCCCTCCAGCTGTGGGAGGAGCTCGTCTCGGAGCACCCTGGAGCTTTGGGGGGCACGCCCGCTTTCCGCTGGGGACCCCGCTTCAAGGAGGTGTTCGCGGGAACCGCGGGGGTGACCCGCGCGGTAGAACAACTGGGCATCCCAGCGGATGAGCCCGTGGAGCTGTACCGGAACCCCCTGCACCCCAAGGAGTCGGAGAGGAGGGAGGACCACGACCTCTCGAACCCCTACGTCGCCGAGGCCCTGGTCAAAGAGGCAGATACTCCCCCGGGCCCGGGAGTGGCCAACGTGTGGATGTTCGAGAACCCGTGCACCTCCTTCTGCGACCACAACACCAAAGGCGGCACCCGCACCTGGGAGAAGCCAGAGGGGACCGGTGTAAACGGCAAGGAGGTCTTG